CGAGAACATTGTAAATAAACACGACGACGTACGCGAACAAGAACAAAACAACACGCCCGATACTCTGCTCGATTAAACGATAAAGTAATTTATCTATGCAAAGCGATAACTAACCACTGTTACCGTTCGCGATCGATTGCCGGTTCGATAAGAGTGATAAAAGACCGACCCGCTGTTGTCATGTGTGTTTTAAATATTTAGTTTAATGAAACTTACTTATTGACTACAAATTTTGGCTTATCTTGAAAAAACTTAATGCCATTTATTTGTTAATTACTCAATTTAAAAACGTTTTAGATTGGATTATAAAAATCAGTAAGAATGTGCTTATTGTGGTCGATATAAACCACTTAAACTATAAAGCCACTTAGACAAAAATCTATTGACTTTTGGACCATGGGTAATATGAACTTTTTGACTTGTTTTGACCATAACGCTTACACCCTGTATATGAAGGCGCCATTTCTCCAATTTTAACAATAACTGACATATTCTCAATGTTTCAAGGAAGTTATCGTGATCAAAACTCATCAACGGAATCTCCTTAACTTATCTACAGTAATCGATGTACCCAATATTCAGGCTTCGTCCTTGCGGCTTGCTTAGATATAGAAAATATATCATTTTAAGGGACATGACAATCGCTATCAGACCAACAATTCAAAACTTTACCCCAACTATTGCTTTTCTGCTATTTTATCTTGAAGTGGTCTAAAGTACAACACGCAAGAACACGTAGTCTAAACACTAAACTTAATTTTGATGTAAAAGTCGAAAATCTATCCCGCCAGAGTGACCCGGATTGATGACAGGATTTAAGTACCTTTTCAACCAAATCCCGTTTTAGAGAGATTAAGTAGTTTTCTCCTAGAGGAGACCAAGTTAGATAACGGTGTTCGTTTTTATTAGTTTTTCTCCTCGACCGAAGGCGGACGAAGTATGGCTGTTATAACGAAAGTCCTGCAGAGAGTTAAAAATGTGCGAGGAGACGTATTTTTTAACTTCCTGATATATTTTGTAGAAGACGAATTAATGTCTGAAGCGCTAGCTTAGTAATAGTAAATTAGGATATTCCGTTTTCTGACCATATTGACCAGCTTAAAAGTAAGAAAGGAGAGATGGCAATTCGACGGCTCGCAGACTGTGGACCACAGTTTGACTGTTTTTTATGGGTTAACGGTACTGCGGCACCATGGCATTATAAGACGATTATCGTCCTCTCTGCTACCAGCAACAAGGTTACGCGCGCGAAATCCTGAATGGCACCAGATATATAGGTCATCCTTCAGCTCAAAGATTATACCGTGAGGCGAGCATCAGTGCACACATTTTCTCGCAAAGTGTTTGTATTCGTAACACGAGTATTCAATAGTTTTGAGACGGGGATATAAAAAAACGTTTCATGCAAAATGCATACTTATTATAAGACCAACAGGACAAGCCACAGACCACCAGACAGAATTATCAAAATATTTCTGGATTTTATACTATAATTTTTCATCGAAAAAAAACAAATTTCATCCTTACTTAGTAGTTTTTTATAATCTTTCATCTACGCATGCTTATTACTTATTAAATGATTTAGCACGGTAAATTGGTATTTCTCAGAATAAACAATGTCTGTGTGTCTGCAATGTCTTCACGTAAAAAGAAGGTGGTAGACAAGGACCAGTCGACCGAGGCAGTACCACCCGCTAGCTTTTCCCAGAGTGTCTTATAAATGTCCGTATGTTTCCACACCTAAGCTATGCAGTCGGTTATCTACCAAAACAAAGAAATTAATGATGGTGGATCCCTCGAGCACTAAAAACTCCGGACGTAAACTCACTCCACTCTCGGAATGTCCGGGTGGAGGGTGGGCTCGAGCGAACAACATCGAAGATAAAATTTGTTTTTCGAACATCTGCGGGATCAACAGCAACATTGATGCTGTTCATCACTACCTGCAATCCAATCGTCGCGCCGTGCTTTTCTTGGCGGAGACAAAAATCTCAGAGACTGCACCGATTAACCATCTCAACTTCCCAAACTACGAGGTGCACTCCAATCTGAGAAAGAACGGGGGAGTTGTGGCCTTTGTCCGCAGCAGTCTTTCCTGCTCCAGGGATCTTTCTTTGGAATCAGACCGGAAGGACATTCTGTGGCTTCGCCTCAACTCCAAAACATCACCCAAATTTATTTGCTGCTTTTATCGCTCTCCCTCGAACCATAACTGGGATGACCTACTCGAATACCTCGCCGTCCAGATCGACTTCCTGAACATCAATCACCCCGCTTCAGAGGTAGTTCTTCTCGGTGATTTCAATGCCCATAATGAGCTTTGGTTGGGCTCAAATAAGACCGATGCAGCAGGTCGTGCAGTCGAAGCGTTCGCTCTTACTCAAGGGCTGACCCAGCTGGTGACGAGCCCTACTTTTTCCCCCGCGTCTCGTCACACGCCAGTAGCCTGCTGGATCTCTTTCTGACCACGCATCCTGCCCCTTACAGCACTGCCGTCCTGTCCCCCCTGGGTAACTCAGATCACGGTGTTGTGGAGGTTAGGTTTCGGTCAGAAGCCGCTGTGGGCCGCAGAAACTCGCACAGGCCGCAAAACTTGGCATTACGGACATGCCGACTGGGAGGGGCTCAGAGACTTCTTCTCTAGCTTTCCTTGGAGAGATGTCTGTTTCACTGACGCGGATGCGTCGACTGTCTGTTCTTCAATAACCGAAATTATCCACGTCGGAATGGAGGAATACATCCCTCACACAGTGAAAGTTCCTAAACCAGGGTCCAACGGCTGGTTCAACAAATCGTGTGACACTGCTCGCCAGCAGAAGATCAAGGCCCACAGAACCTACTTACTAAACCCCTGCAATGGCAGTCGGTCTTTCTGGACGCTGGCCAAGCAGATTGAAAAGAACTTCTCACACAGTAGCCTTCCACCACTTACGTGTCAGGATGGAACTATTGTATTCGACTCAAAGGCCAAGGCGGAAGTGCTAGCCAAGATCTTTGCTGCCAACTCCACCATGGACGTCCCCACCAACGCCCAAGTGCCGTCAATTCAAAGGGTTCCTCACACTATGCGGGAGGTAACATTCAGGCATAAGACCGTAAGACGAGTGCTCTTGTCGCTCGACATCAACAAAGCTTCTGGTCCGGACTTGATTCCTGCCATTGTACTGAAGAGATGTGCAGCGGAGCTTGCTCCAGTTCTTTCGCGTCTCTTCCAGATATCTTATGAATCCGGCACCTTCCCAGAAAACTGGAAATTTGCTCATGTACAGCCCATCCCAAAAAAGGATCTAAAACCGACCCTTACAACTACAGGCCTATAGCTCTGCTTTCTGTTATAAGTAAAGTGATGGAGAGGTGCACAAATCGCGAGCTTCTGGACTACCTCGAACGTCACAGCTTGATTAGCGACAGGCAGTACGGTTTCCGGCACCAACGATCCACAGGGGACCTCCTAGCTTACGTCACGCAACTGTGGAGTAAACTCATCCAGTCTCATGGTGAGGCTCATGTCGTTGCTCTTGACGTCACGAAGGCGTTCGATCAGCTGTGGCACGCTGCCCTCTTAAGCAAACTTCCATCCTACGGCCTCCCAGAAAAGCTTTGCAGATAGGTGGCTGACTTTATCTCTGACCGCAAGATATCCGTCGTAACTGACGGTTTCTCCTCTTCATCCCACAACGTCAACGCGGGTGTTCCTCAGGGATCGGTCTTGGCTCCAACACTGTTTCTCTTACATATCAATGACCTCCTTTCGTGCACGATCAACCCAATCCACAGCTTCGCTGATGACAGCACTCTACATGCAGGAATTCAGAGTGACAAGCCGATCTCTGCCGCTGAGCTGGAAAAAAGAAGACTAGCGACGACTTCTTCTCTGACAAGATACCTGGAGGCTATCACTGCTTGGGGACGCAACAATCTTGTACAGTTCAATGCTTCCAAAACACAGTACTGTACTTTGACGAACAAAAAGCGTCCTAGCGCTCATACAGTTTCGATGGACGGTCGAGTTCTACCAAAGAGCCATTCATTTCGGCTGGTCGGAGTCCAGATCACCGAGGACCTGATCTGGCACGAACACATCTCTTCAATAGCTGCAGCTGCTGGGAAAAAGCTAGGCTATTTGTTTAGGGCTATGAAGTACTTTTCTCCGCATGACCTTCTCACTCTATACAAGGCCCAGATAAGGCCTAGCCTCGAGTATTGCTCACACATTTGGGGTGCTGCCGCCCCGACTACATTGTCCATGCTCGATGCTGTCCAGAGGAGGGCGGTCCGACTGATCGATGACTCTTCTCTAACAGACAGTCTCGGGACTCTTTCGCACCGGCGGGCCGTCGGCGATCTAGCTCTTTTCTATCGCTACACTAACGGGCTTTGCTCCTCAGAGCTCTCTTCCATGATGCCGCCGCGCGATGTGCCTGCCAGACAGACCCGCCTGACTTCGGCGTCCCATCCTAACCGTGTCAAACTTCGTACATTCAGAACTGGCCGATACGATCGCTCCTTTGTCCCGAGGGTGTCTAGATTGTGGAACAAACTACGGGAGGAAGCTTTTCCCACTTCTACTAACCTTAAGCAGTTCAAAAATCGTATTAACAAAATTTCTTTGGGATCATCATAGCAGCCGCGGTGTTCCGGCATTTAGGCTCCTGCCTGCGCGGCTGTTTCGATATAAAAAAAAATTGCGTTGTTGCCTAATTTACCATGATATATATTTGTCGTACAAAGCTCCTTGGCATCATACATCATTATAACCTCTAAATAACTAGTCTCTATCTAATCTATGAAGATATGAAGCGGTTTTAAGCGATCTACCAAGCAATGGCGTCTATACGAGGGATGTCTTTTAAGTTTTGCATATGAAAATAAAACAACACGGTAGGTAGTTTTAAATGACTTTATCGTTTTTCGAAGTATTCTCCACGAAGATATACACATCTGCATGCGCTAGAACCAATTTTCGAAGCACATATTCCACTCGTTTGCTGGCAGATCCAAAACGGCATTTTTGAATGCGTCAACTGCTTCTTCTGGTGACTGGAACCTTTGACTACGCAGGCTGTTTTTAATTTTCGGGAAAGTAAAGAAATCGTTAGGACTTAAGATTACCTTACTTTCCCGAAAATTAAAAACAGACAGCGTGGTCGAAGGTTCCAGTCACCAGAAGAAGCAGTTGACGCATTCAAAAATGCCGTTATGGATCTGCCAGCAAACGAGTGGAATAAGTGCTTCGAAAATTGGTTCAAGAGCATGCAGATGTGTAGTAGTCTTCGTGGAGAATAGTTCGAAACACAATAAAGTCATTTAAAACTACCTACCGTGTTGTTTTATCTCAATATGCAAAACTTAAAAGACATCCCTCGTATTGTTTCTGACTAAACAATACATCTGACATCAACGCGGTTCGGACCGAGATATCGGGCCGTGTCCGGACATTTGGCAATATATTCATAAGTAACCTGAACATAGTTCTGGTATTTGAAGATTATACTGAGAAGTACTATAAAGGTACTATATGTGCTACATCAATAAAAATATACCCTTGCATCTAATTTTAAAAGATTTGTCGACCTACTGTCCTCCTGTTCAAGCTTGGTAAACACCAGGCCACTACTCAAGATATTTCACCATTTAAAGACTATTGAGTAACCCTGTATAACTGCTGTAGTTGCAAATCTCAAAAAGATAAGGTTATTATTAAACAGGGGATATGTACAATGTATATACTGGAGATTTTATTATATGAATCGTCCAATTTGCAACCGTTTGATCCAATACTTACCCTTAAAACTTGTGTTACTTTATAGGGTTCTTAAAACTCAAAGACCTGAAGTGGAACGAAACGCACTTCATTAATACTTGTGAAAAGCAAATTATTTTATTATATTGCATTAGGTTTGGATTATAATGATACATAGCTCTAATAATAACCTCTTTAGTTGTTCTCCAATAGTGTCATGGTCCTCAAAAACATGCTGTATGACAGAATAGCTTTTACTGCCTAGAATTCAAAAAAATTTAAATTACATTTTAGTCATATATCAAATTAGCCTATTTATGAACCTAAGAAACATTGCCACTTTTTGTATTCTATAAGTTTCAGTATGACGTTTTGTCTCTTGTCCTACATCATCAACTTTATTTTTGTTATGGGCGTTATATTAAAATTTTGCATAGGTGAATAGAAAATTTATCTCTAATATCATAAATATATAATTTATCATGCATCCATATTATAAAATTTATTAAAAAAATGTTCCGTAAAGTTATCGGATAGTCATTTGATTCATAATCTATCATCGCCCAAAACATTGCGGCAGTTTTTATGAGCTTCGCATAGGTAATCAGTTTTTATTTCCACTTTTAATTATGAAGCCTTTTGAGCACGCTTCACAAAAACTGAAACAACATTTGATTGGTGACGTAATCGAATAAGCCGTTATTATCAGGACCAACTATGAAAATATTTTTTGAAATAAAAATGTTACGTACATTGCACATTTTTGACAAGAATATGATGAGGGACAAGAAACGAAACGAATTGAAATTTTAATTATACCATCCTGTAAAGGAGATAATGTGCAATTTATTTTAATTTCAAATCAAGTCAATGGTGATGATCGGCTTTGAATAAGAATAATATACTAAGTGACATATAATCCGAACACCCAGTTTAAATGGTTTTTATTTTAATAAAAGTTGGTGAATGTATTTATCTTACTGTAAATAAAAAGTGAAAAAATTTTCAGCCTTATCAGTTGGACATTCCGGTTTTTATACTGCTTTTTTTTAATTCACTAACGCTCTAAAAATGAATATTTTCAGCGGCAGTAAAGAATCAACGTTAGCGGATTTTGGTTCTTGACATCCTTTACGATCGGTTACGATGCCTAGAGTACGGAGACCTGTACGATTTCGTCAACTTAGTGAGTTTGATAGGGGCCGTACAGTTGGACTTCGGGAAGCTGGACTTTCTTTTCGAGCAATAGCAGTTAGAGTGCAAAGAAGTGTAGACACTGTGGTTAGGTGTTGTCAGGCATGGCTTCGAGAAGGCCGTACGCAAAGAGCAAGCGGCACTGGACGCCGCCGTAGAACAACAGACCGTGAAGATCGCCGCCTAAGATTATTGGCCTCAAGGGACCGTTTCTCACTCCCAGGTCCATTGCAAATGAATGGTTTGCAGAACACGGAAGACCTATTGGCATGCGAAGTGTTTACCGACGAATGAGAAGTTTTGGCTTGTTTTCATACCGGCCACACTGGGTCCTCCCTTTAACTCGAGAACACCGACGTAATCACCTTGAGTGGTGCAGACAACGGTCACTCTGGGATCAGGAATAGAACAGTATTGTCTTTAATGACGAGTCTCGATTTTGTTTAGGCATGCACGATGGTCGTGCCAGGGTTAGAAGGCGACGTGGTGAAAGGAGGAATCCACAGTTTTTTTGTTGAAAGACATGTTCATCACACTGTTGGAGTTATGGTTTGGGTTGCTATAGCTTATGGTTCCAGGCCACCTTTGATCTTCATCAGAGGTAACATGAACGCGCAGCGTTATATCCACGAAGTTCTAGAACCCCATCTTTTACCCTATCCTGACACCCTGGCAGATCCAACTTTCCAACAAGATAATGCCTGACCACATGTTGCAAGAGTCACAATAGACTTCTTTCAACATAATGATGTCACATTGTTACCATGGCCACCAAGATCTCCCGACTTGTCCCAATTGAGCACGTGTGGGATATGATGGGTAGGAGATTGCTCAATTTGCAACGTCCTCCTCAGACTCTAGAACCACAGGATGCCATTGACCACCTGATCAGAAGCATGCCTAGGCGCGTTGGAGAATGCGTAGCACATCAGGGTGCATCCACACATTATTAAAGGTCAAAGGGCTTTAAAGCAGTGCAATCATTTTGAAATTTTTATCATTTACTTATTATGCTTCATTAAGTACTTATACAAAATTTTATTAAAATAAAACCATATAAACTGGGTGTTCGGATTTATATGTCACTTAGTATATAAAACGGATACAATGTACGCACCGCCATTCCGGTTTCAAGGTTTAAATCCAAGATACCACCCATATTGAAAGCAACTTTAATTCTACTTTTTCCGAGCAGTATCAGTATATCTTTCTGGAATCTTGGAAAGTTGTACCAATCACAGGCATACACACTTTCTGCAACCTCTTCAGCCTAAACAACATAAATAATAATCATAGGAAAAGCCAACAGTTGTTTTTATCAAGTTTCACTTTTGGGTGTTTGTGCATGAAGATAACTTACCTCTGATGTCAATTCCTGAGCTGGATAACAATAGCAAATGAAGAACACGAAAAATGTATAGACAGTAGATAGGACGAATTTTGACATTTCTTCTATAGAATCTCTGCAGCAAAATCGTTCAGTAAGTTTAATTGTATCAGACATGTGGAAAGACAGAAAATACATATAATCGTCAATTGAATAGACTTTTCAAAAACTTCTGTGTACCTGTAATAAATTACGAGGGATGTCTTTTAAGTTTTGCATATGGAAATAAAACAACACGGTGGGTAGTTTTAAATGGCTTTATTGTTTTTAGAAGTATTCTCCACGAAGATATACACATCTGCATGCGCTAGAACCAATTTTCGAAGCACATATTCCACTCGTTTGCTGGCAGATCCAAAACGGCATTTTTGGATGCGTCAACTGCTTCTTCTGGTGACTGGAACCTTTGACTACGCAGTCTGTTTTTAATTTTTGGGGAAGTAAAGAAATCGTTAGGACCTAAATCGGGACTATATGGAGGATGGTCCAGTAATTGCACGGTTTCTTTCGTTGAAAACTGCCTTGTTTTTTGGGCTGTGTGTAAGCTTGCATTGTCTTGGTGGAGGATGATTGTTCTTTCGGGGTTGATTTTTCGAAGCTCGATGATGACTTTTGGCAAACAAATGGTGGTATACCAATCCGCAGTAACAGTTCTTTGCTCGTTAAGAGGAATTGTTGCATTATGACCCGCTTTTGACACAAATGTCGCGATCTTTTTCGAAACACTTCGAGAACGGATGACTTTTGTTGTATGGCTGTACACATTTTTTGAGTTTCCGGAATTTAAACGGTACGCGTTTTTTGACACCAATTAACCTGGCTGCTTTCTGCTCTTCAGTCAACAGGTGGGGTATCCAACGAGAAACGAATTTTCTTACTCCTAATTCTTCATGTACATTTTTTTGAATTGAGGTCTTTGAGATCTTCAAGGACGCCTCAATCTCGCGATATGTCACACGTCTATCTTCAATGATGAGTTTGCGCCCAGCATGGACGTTTTCCTGGGTGACTGCCGTTTTTGGTGCACCCAAAACTTAAAAGACATCCCTCGTATATCTGCAGCCTTTTGGCATATACTGACTAAGTGTGTGGTATTTATATATCCTCTGCTTGTAAAATGAATTAACTCAAGCGATACTTACGTTAAAAAAGTTAAGTAGATTTCTATAGATGATAATAGAACTATGACTCCAATATAGACGAACATCATTGTGGAGAAGGTGCTATTTGCAGTAGTCCTGAAACTAGTGGCTTTTCTGTCAGACTTTCAAAAATGTCGCTTTTTTCAAAGAATACAAACGGTACACATGTACCCTATTTAACACGTTAACGACCAGCGCAAAATTTTTGAATTTGGCTTCTGGACCAAGGAATTTTATTTCTCAAGGACCCAACCTACTAAACGCCACATTTAAATACATTACATGTCTTTCCCTATTAGTCTCATATGACTTGAAACATTATAATTGACTGTGCCCCCATAGGAACACACGGTCTGTGCAGAAAACAGGGTGTGTACCAATATAATGCACATGGTCATTAACGTGTTAAAATTTCTGTAACATTACTGTTTTTATGTTAACAGAAGCTTTTGAAGCAGACTTTTAAATCGACGTGTCCAACTATCCATATTCAGTAATAAATGATTGACAATTATTAAATATTTAATTTTTTAAATTCAATAGAAAGACGGAGACTTGAAACAATGTCGATGAGACATCTAAGTCTATATTGTGAAGATCGGGCGGTGTGCATCTGTTGGTATCTCTAGCCTAAGTTACCTGCGATTCTTACTATAGTAAAAACGTATGATGATTATTACATCTCTTTATTCTTTCTTGAATATCAGTTTCTCCTTTGACGTCAGTAAATAAGTTTTCCACCTCGTACCGGAGCAACTTGAACTGTATCCTGGTGAGGGAGTTCAATACCAAAATCAACACATCCATAGCAGTTTGAGATAACATAACTCCAGCAAGGGGGATATGCTCCCACATGAACATGGTCCAGAATGATAGATTTTCCGGGATATACGCCCTGAAAATTTTTTGCCAGATGAATTAAATATAACCGAATCATTCAAATGAATTCAGTTTTCAAGAAGAAAAAACAACAGGAAAGACAAAAATCTCTATAAGCATACGAGGTCTGTAAATTAAGTGATAAGACTGGCAACGTAGCGTTCGATCTGGTAACACTGGAGGCGCCGGGCTAGGAGGGGAGACAGAGGGATAAGTGCTTCGCGATCAGTACAAGCTTGAATTCGCTCGAGTCATTTGGTTGTCCGTAGAAATTTATCCGATCTATATAGCCAGGCCAGATGCTGAAATGATCCCACGGCTTTAGTTACCATAGTTATAGTAAAATATTGCAACAAAGTATTGCTCGTCTAGACGCTCGACTATACATACCTACTTCTTACTTAAAAAGCGTTGGCACTGTCTCCTGGCTCACCCAGTATTTAATGACTGTATGGTCCAGTCATATTAGTGAATGAGAGATAAAAAACTGTAAACTTGCAGAAACCTTTATTTTGTCACTCTAAAAGTGGTCTCAAAAGTCTCGTGTCCGCCTGTTAATGTATCAAATGTCAAATGTCACAAAAATCGGTTTAATGCAGAGATCTTGCTTTCTACAGGTTTTTGAATTTATTATGAATGTTTTAGACAATAAGACTCTCTACAACTTTTCTTCAAACATTTTTTCATACATTTGATCGTTTTTGAGATACAGAGCGGAGAGCGCACATCGCTTGTACAGGGTGTCCGGTAAATAGTACGACAGTATACAGTATAAGATCAATCATTAGTCCCAGTAAATAATTCGCCATTTTAGGTCTATAGATCATCAAGACATGTATAGTTATGCACAAGTAGATTCTTTATTAATTACTGCATTATATTTTGGATATTTTTCATTAATAAAATATATACTTACTACTACTAGTATACTACTACTATACTAAGTGACATATAAATCCGAACACCCAGTTTAAATGGTTTTATTTTAATAAAAGTTGGTGAATGTATTTATCTTACTGTAAATAACAAGTGAAAAAATTTTCAGCCTTATCAGTTGGACATTCCGGTTTTTATACTGCTTTTTTTTTAATTCACTAACGCTCTAAAAATGAATATTTCAGCCGCAGTAAAGAATCAATGTTGGCGGATTTTGGTAGAGTACGGAGACCTGTACGATTTCGTCAAATTAGTGAGTTTGATAGGGGCCGTATAGTGGGACTTCGGGAAGCTGGACTTTCTTTTCGGGCAATTGCAGTTAGAGTGCAAAGAAGTGTAGACACTGTGGTTAGGTGTTATCAGGCATGGCTTCGAGAAGGCCGTACGCAAAGAGCAAGGGGCACTGGACGCCGCCGTAGAACAACAGACCGTGAAGATCGCCGCCTAAGATTATTGGCCTTAAGGGACCGTTTCTCCACTACCAGGTCCATTGCAAGTAAATGGTTTGCAGAACACGGAAGACCTATTGGCATGCGAAGTGTTTACCGACAAATGAGAAGTTTTGGCTTGTTTTCATACCGGCCACACTGGGTCCTCCGTTTAACTCGAGAACACCGACGTAATCGCCTTGAGTGGTGCAGGCAACGGTCACTCTGGGATCAGGAATGGAACAGTATTTTCTTTCGTGACGAGTCTCGATTTTGTTTAGGCATGCACGATGGTCGTGCCAGGGTTAGAAGGTGACGTGGTGAAAGGAGGAATCCACAGTTTTTTGTTGAAAGACATGTTCATCACACTGTTGGAGTTATGGTTTGGGGTGCTATAGCTTATGGTTCCAGGTCACCTTTAATCTTCATCAGAGGTAACATGAACGCGCAGCGTTATATCCACGAAGTTCTAGAACCCCATCTTTTACCCTATCTTGACACCCTGGCAGATCCAACTTTCCAACAAGGTAATGCCCGACCACATGTTGCAAGAGTCACAGTAGACTTCTTTCAGCATAATGATGTCACATTGTTACGATGGCCACCAAGATCTCCCGACTTATCCCCAATTGAGCCCGTGTGGGATATGATGGGTAGGAGATTGCTCAATTTGCAACGTCCTCCTCAGACTCTAGAAGCACTTCGAGAGGAGTTGGTGGTTGTCTGGAATGAGATACAACAGGAGGACATTGACCACCTGATCAGAAGCATGCCTAGGCGCGTTGGAGAATCCGTAGCACATCAGGGTGCATCCACACATTATTAAAGGTCAAAGGGCTTTAAAGCAGTGCAATCATTTTGGAATTTTTATCATTTACTTATTTTGCTTCATTAAGTACTTATACAAAATTTTATTAAAATAAAACCATTTAAACTGGGTGTTCGGATTTATATGTCACTTAGTATATATAAAAATTCACAGTACTCAAATGAGGAACTATGCCACCAACAAACATATATTATGTTATAGAGACACCATAGCCTCAGCTTTGCAAGAAATCAGGGAACTACAGGGTGATTCTGTTCCTATAAATGTTGACTGCTCAAAACTGAAAAAAAAATCGCAAAATTCAAACGAAGAATTGTGTCAACAAAAAAAATCATATATTTTGTAGAGGCCCTATAGTATCTACATATATATAATAACGTTTAACAACGATCTCACATACTATTGTAAGTAATTTAAAATCATTTTTGACAATAGTTGCGATTTCTTCTTAATGTTATTGCAGCTCCTGATGATGATGGCATAGTCCATTGACAGCTAGAGACTAATAAAGTATAAAGAGTCCTCATTGCTTGAATCTTGTCGAAGTACCCAACTAAAGGCGGAAGCTTCATTTTTCACCTAACTGGTCTAGACGACGTCTCAAGTTAAATATATATATATATATATATATATATATATATATATATATATATATATATATATATATATACCTTAGGAAAAACCATTGTTATACATGGGAAATCATTTCTTGGCAACAGCGCATCGGCTCGTCTACTTTCATCGCTATTCGTACGTAATACATATTTCCTACCATTAACCGCAGACCTGTATCACGAATGAGAATAATAGGCAGATACGCTGTGTTGCCAATTTGAGTAGAGCTTCCCGAATTGTGGGGAATTTAGAGTTAAGTGTTGATTCATTCAAGCTTTTAATCAGCATGGCCTAGACGTTAGAACTTCATAAAGATAACATTGGAGCTGAATGCTGCTGGAGTATAGTGTTTCGAATATTCAAAGCGGAGCGGGACACTATAATCGTTCAATGGGTCATCAAGCCACAGTTTTTTCAACAAAGAAATTATTTTACGAAAATGCGTTATATTTTTACGATTTTGTCGTCACCAAATCTACTGTACGTCTATTGTAGAATTTTCAGCAAACTAAGCAAGAAACGTGATCTAGTATTTACTCAACATTACGGATTTCTCGACATACATTAAAAAATGTGAGCTAGATACCTAACTGCCCCAAGCTCTTTAAATATAACACCTTAAACCAGGGTTACCAGGTACTCAGTCACGTTGATTGTCATGTTGTACTGCGCAAGTCAGCAAACAATCTGGCGTAATAAACGTTAGGAATCATCAGGTGTTGCCAGATTCCCGAATACCGGGC